TTCTTTGTTTACATCTCAGATCAATCACAGAGATCACAGTGTGTTTTACATATGAGAGCTCTTCCCTTACTCTTATAACACAAAAAGGGGAAGAAACGGGAACTAATGAATGTATGAGTCATTCATTGATTCCTAAAGCCTAGTACACACTATTAGAAAATCGGACAAAATTATCTGTATTTGGAACAATCATTCGATTGTTCATTAGTAGTGTTTTGTTGTAGTATTACTTTGATATAACGCAGAAAATTCCACTTTAGCTCCATGGCATTCCTAGGAATATTGCATCTTTTTCTTTTCCAGGCTGCACTTGTTTCTGCTGAATCTCAACCCAAAACTACTTTCACTGCACAACAATCAACTGCTGCTGTAGCCACTCCTCGGTCCACCCCTAAGGTAAGTCTTCTAAATGTAAATAGTGGAATCTATGAACCTCTCAATAGGCAGGGGAACATTCTCCATTACAGCTGATGGCAATGGAGGAGGTTTGTTGTCCAGTTCTCCAAAGTTTCTTTACTTGATCTTACAGTACGGGGATTCATGGGGCAGCCCTCAGTCCCAACATTTTTAAATTATAAGTTTTTCTTTCATTTATTTCCACTTTTGCAGCTAAATTGGGATAATGCCTACTTTATAATTGCTAGGTGTTCCTGCTCAAGTAGTCAAGTAGTGTAACTTAAAAAAATATGTAAATCACAACTTACCTTTTTTTAGATTCTAGAATCAAGGAAAAATACAAGGTGTAGTTAAATTTTTTTTTTTTTTTTGTGGGGGCTAGGCAGCTGTGTTTGCCACAATTAACCCTGTCTATACTGTGTAGGACATTTTTCATTATCAGTTGTAACTAGATTTGAACATTGTCCTTACAAAGGGTTAAAAATGCAGAAACAACCCTTCTGCATTGTATGCTAATGGACAGGCCTTGAACAGATTAATTCTAACATTATTCAAAAAAAACCTTGCAGTCAGCCATGACACCTTGTAACAAGAAACTTCTAAACGGTAAGAAATATTTTCTAATTTTTTTTTTTTTATACTGTGTGCATGGAAAAAAATAACAAACCTGGTGGTATTCCTAAATTTATCTGCAAAAGTGGATATACATTCCATTGTGACATCTGTGTTTTAGGGTTCCCAAGGAGCCCTGCAGCAGCTATGACAGGGTTTACTTTAGCTGCAACCACAGTAAAGCTACGGAGCAGGGAGGAGAGAGACCTTGCAGTGTGATGAACAAAGATTGGTTGCTCATCAGGAATGGGTGGGGCAGGGCTTATACTTTATCCCTTTTGCTGCCAGAGCCGTTTTTGTGTTTTTTTTTTTTTTTTTTTTTTTTCCCACACATTTTAAAAAATCATTTTAGACCTGAAGATTACACAACTCTCAAACATGATATATTTTCTGAAAGCAGAGACCCTAGAGAATAAAATAGTGTTAGTTCCAGTTTTTTGTGTCGCATAATTTTACCGCAAAATTTTAGTAAGTAATACAAGTAAGTTAATTTTAGGGCACAAAAAAAAAGCAATAAATTACCCTATATTTTTTTTGTAAAATATAAAAGATGAGGTTGCAGCGAGTAAACAGATATCCAACATGTCAAACCTTAAATTTGTGCTCGTTCGTGAAATGGCGACGAACTTCAGTACCCTATATTTTCTATAGGTTGACACTTTTAAAGCTCCTTAATAGGTCACCAGTTTAGTGTTACGGAGGAGTGCTAGTGTTATTGCTCTCATCCTAGCATGCGCAGTGATATGTGACGTGTATTGCAATCAATGGTTTCATGCGTAGGCGCCCCAGCGTGTGCTTTTACTTTGTACGTGTGTATATGTGGGGGCCTTAATATTTTTTCTGGGGAGTGGATGGTATATGCTTGGGTGTAACTTTCATTTTTTACAATTAAACAAAATTCACTTTTTTTCTCACGCCTTTTTTTTATTTTTATTTTTCTTTCATCACATAGGGGACAGTGTCCCCTATGTGATCACTTTTGGTGACGGGTTCTATTTGAGACATCCAAGGTCTAAAAGACCCTGCATGTCTCCCCTCTGCTCCACTGAATGTAATGTGCACATTCATTCCCAGGAATTGTATTACAGTCTCTCAATAGGGACCTGGAGGTGATATTGTAACGTCACTTCTGGGTCAGCACAAGAAGGGGAGCGGACTTGTCCTCTCTAGCCGACGGCGACCCGGGCCCACAGATGGGCAAGCGGAGCCTGGGAGAGGCTGGCACTGTGTGAAAGCAATTGTTTCACCTGACAGGTGAGCCTGCTGCAGGGCTAAAGGAAGAGAAAAACTACCTGCCCGGAACTACATGTCCCGGACGTTGGCGATAGGAATCAAACATCCCTGCTCTGTGTTTAAGAAGAATTTCTTTGATATAATGTTAAACATTCCTTTACAGCTCCATGGTAACCTGTAGCCATATTGCATTATTTCCTTTTCCAGGCTTGCCTTGCTTCTGCTAATTCTCAATCCAAAACTACTTCTACTGCACAACAGCCAGCTACTGCTGTAGCCACTCCTCGGTCCACCCCTAAGGTAAGTCTTCAAAATGTAAATGGTGAAGTTCAAGAACCCCTCACCGTTCTACAATACAGCTGGTAGCCACAGCAGAGGTTTATTGTCTGTTTTTCCAAAGTTATATATTCCCTACATCCCATTGAATAACAATGCCAGAATTGTAATGCTCCACTTGAAATGCTGTTATAAGGTATTCTGCTTTATGTGGCTTCCAGCCCTCACATCTAAGAGGATTAAATGGCTTTTGCCCTTCAATCAAATCTACCTGTCCTCCTATAGAGTCTGCTTAGTTCCTACTGATGTAAGCACAACACCAGAACTACATATCACAAAGCCTTTCTCTACACACAGTGTGGGCAGACTCTTGTGAGTCAAGGCAACCGCTTTATTTTGCAGGAAAAAAATCCCTCTATGGAAGGAGAGGAAGAGAGAGGGGAGGGATAGGTGGGATTCTGTAGTCCAGCACGCAAAGTTGACACTGTTGTCCGCCAAAGAAGACATTAGACCTCACTGGATTTCTGATAGATCAATAGCTACTTTTTTGTACTCGTAGGGATAAAACATGGTGAATTGTGAATGTATTGTAAGGATTCACTGAATATTTAGCCCTGATGTGCATTTTAATGTTCATATCATACTCTGATCCAGGTCTACAACACCTGCTATAAGACCACTGTGCATTAGTATCTGTAATCTTTATTTTGACTGGAGATTTTAAAATGAATGCCAAGCAAGAAGACCACTACGGCAACAAGCATCTGATAGTTAGGGCCAATTTACACCAGTGAGTTGATCTGCATTTTACACCTGCACTAAAACGGAAGAACACCTCAAAAACAATTTCCAGCTGTCCTATTGACACCATTGCATGCATGGCAATGGCAATCAAAATGTATGTCAGCGGGTGTCGGCCCGCCTTAAAACCAGACTAAAATTAGTGGTGCGCCGAAATGAAAACTCTGGCGCTGAAACCGAAGATTCAGGATGCACTTGGTCGAAAACCGAAATGTCTGCGTATGGGGGGGGGGGGGGAGGTTTGGGTAGGTTAAAGTTTTTTAAATTTTATTTTTTTTTGTTTCTTGTATTTTTTTTTTACTTTTAATGTATGTTTTTATTTATATATTTTTTTTTAACTTCTGATATAATTGCTATATTGGGAACTATAGTCCTCTATGTGATAGCATATAATTGACAGGCCCTCTTTGTGGGGGGTGGTAGTGTGTGCAAGGAGGGGGCAAGAGAGGAGCAGTGTATACAGACAGGCTCCCTCACTTGCAAACCCCCACTGGGGTTGCGGGGGTCACTGAGTGACCCCACTCCTTTGTTTACTTTGGTGACAGCAAATGATAGCTACTTCTCGGAGCTTTAAAGTGAAGTGGAGCTGGCAACAATGACCTTTATCAGTGTCAAGTGAAGGGAGCCTGTCTGTATACACTGCTTACCTCCTCTCCTGCCTTCCTCCGCTGCCCCTTCCCATTCCCCCCCCCCCCCCCCCCCATCTGCAGTACACACAGCCCCCAACCCCCCAGCCAAATAGTCAGTCTGCCCCTCAGGTTGCAATTATCGTCTCACTTTTTCCTATCTGCAAAATGCCAATAGGGCTACCGAAATTTCGGTGCAACTTTAACTAAAATGGATGGAAATTTACATGCATTTTCCATACATTTTAGCACAAGGCTGTGTGAATTGGCTCTTAGAGCCCACCTGGCTTCCAAAGCAGCTCATAATTGGTAGGGATGACTATCGTAAGAGCTGTAAGTGTGTTTAGATACAGATACTTGTTTCACGTTTAGAACTTTGCCATCTCTTCAGGGATACAGCATTTGGAACATCGGACAGTCTTAAAGTGGAGTTCCACTCATGCTATCAAAAAATGTCAGCAGCTACAAAAACTGTAGCTGCTGACTTTTAAAAAACAGACACTCACCTGTCCCGTGGTGTGTCCCCCGCAGCCCATTTCACCGGCCGTCCTGCATTCCAGGAGGCCGGCATCTTCAGTGTGGGCACCCGGCTGTGATAGCTTGCGGCTTCACAGCCGGGTACCCACTGTGTCATGTGCGAGTAGCCTAGGCCAGGGGTCTGCAACCTTTAAGACATAAAGAGCCACTTGGACCCGTTTCCGAGAGGGAAAAAAAGACTGGGAGCCGCAAAACCATTGCAACATTTAAAGCAAATCCGACACTGCATATATTGCAAAAAGCGCTCTGGTCATGAAGGGGGTTTAGGGGCCCAGTAAGCAAAGGGTTAATCAGGGCCACAGTGTATCGTCATAATCACAATCATAGCCTTAGGTCAGTGGTGGGCAACCTTTTTTTTCAACTGAGCCAAATCTCGCCAAAACCACGATTGAAATTTATTTTGAGAGCCACATTTTTAAAACTGAAAATACATCCCCCATATAGTAATTCATCCCCCCTATAGTAATTCATCCCCCCTATAGTAATTCATTCCCCATATTGTGTCAATTCACTTACCTTTGCTCCGCGCCTTCCTCTCGCCGTGTTCCCGCGCCGCTCCGGTCTTCAGGGCAGACTGTGAGAGGAGAGGAGTTCGTCACGCTGCCCCGCCTACATCCTGACAGCCAATGTTTGCCACGCTCCGCGGGCTGGATTAAAAGGTCTGCCGGGCCGTATTTTGCCCATTGCTGGGCTAGCTGCAGAGTCCTGACTTTTGGGGCGGCCGCCCGAGAGGAGGGAGGGGAGCGGGCGCCCGGCACACAGAAGAGCCGCATTGAAATGTGTAAATAGCCGCGGCTTGCCGACCACTGAGCTACGGCAACCCTATTGCCTGTCACCTGGTGGGCAGTGTGCTCCGGAGCTGCAGCAAAGGTGAAAAAGAGCCGCATGCGGCTCTGGAGCCGCGGGTTGCCGACACCCGGCCTAGGCGATCGGACTGGAAGTGGGAGCAGGTACCTGTCAAATTAGGGTACCCGCTCTCCCAAAGGTGCCAATCATTAATGGGGAGCGGGGGAGCAGTCCTTAAAGCGGAACCTCCCCTTTTGGGTGGAGCTTCGCTTTAAAGTGTTACTAAACCCACAACAGTGAAATCAGTCTGTATAAGCAGTAAAGCATGCTTGTTATACTGTGGAACCTAAGGGGTTAATCCCTTGCATTGTGTAAAAAGGCCATTTGATCATGTTTTCTCTGCCCCTCCTCTTGTTCAAATGTCCAAGTCTTATCTCCTGATAAGACAGACTGAACCCATAGCCACATGCTCAATTTAGTGTTTATTGCTAGAGAGGTTTTTCTTTTTCCTTAGGAGAGTGCATGTGATCAACACATTCTATGCATGAAGGTAAAAAACCTTGTGTGCAGCAATACCCCTAGCCCCCCTAATACTTACATGAGCCCCAGCGCAATCCAGCGATGTGCATGAGAACCTCGGCTGTCCCGGGTCTCTGCCTCCTCCTTAGTTGAGATATTGTCAATTTAAAGCCAGTGAACCAATGAGGAGACAGAGGAGGTAGGGCAAAGTCTTGTCTCCGTGTGTGAATTGACACATGGAGCAGCGGCTCGGGAGCGCGCCTCTTCGGGTGCTCCATTGCAAGTTGCTTGCTATGGGAGCTCACCGACAGGAAGAAGGAGCCAGGAGCATCAGCAGGGGCCCAAAAAAGGGGAGAATCGGTGCTGCTCTGCGCAAAACCATTACACAGAGAAGGTAAGTATAACATGTTTGTTATTTATTTAAAAAAAAAAAACTGAACCTTTTAGTATCACTTCAAAGAGAAGTTGAGGCTGCACCTCAAATCACATTGAATTATACTAATCTTTCTGTCCAAGCAGCCAATGTGAGAGGACGCTGATCTCTCTCCTGCTGCCGCTGGATCTCTGCTAACAATCCGCAATTTAGGCTTCTCAGAGTGGCTCTCCACGACACGTCACACTTCTGTACACTTGCTCTCCCTCCTGATCCACCCTGAAGCAGCGAACGAGCACCAGGGCCATGACTAAGAAGAACAGAGAGGAAGCTGAAGAGCTGTACCCGAGCAGCCAAGATGGTGCCGTCCCGCTCCCTCCTTGCATTCACCAGTGGGACAGAAGCAGGGATGCGGCCGTAAAAGCTGGAGCGCTTTTCCAGAGACAATCGAGCGGTCTCCCCTACCACCTGCCACCACTTCAACTGCTTCCCCCAGGCTGACCGGGAGTGCCATGGTCTGGCGAGTCTGCCACAACCGCACATACAGCAGCCCATGAGGAGGAGAGGAGAGCACAGCCTAGGCCAGAGGGGGGAAACTGGGCTACACAGTCCCCTGCCATTTCACCAGCCTCCACTCCTGAGCCTACTTTTAAAGATGTTTTCCTGGCAGTGCAGAGCTGTAATTCTTCCCTGTCAGCACTTACTGCCCAATTTCAGCATTTATAGGAAGACATGTCCTTTATTCGGCATGATGTACAGAAAGTGTGAGAACACACTTCTGCTTTGGAAGACAGAGTATGCTCCATTGAGGATGAGCTGGGTCCAGCCAGACGGGCATTGCAGCCACTAATCTTGTTATGCAAAGACATGCCAACCGTAAAGCTGACATGGAAAACAGATTGAGGAGGAACAATGTGAGAATACTGGCCTTGGACAAGAAGCACCTTACTGCATTCTTTGCGGTAGAGAAGGCACACCATATTCTGGCTCGCCCTCTTCCTCTGTGGAATTATCTTGATCTTTGTAGTGAAGTAACTTCCAAATGAAAGGGTGAAGATCATATTCTCGCAATGGCTCGCAACAAGGGACTAATTGAAATAAATGGCACCAAAGTATCCTACCCAGATTTCTCAGTGGAAGTGCAGAAGTTGCAGGCCTAGTACAATGATGTGAAATGCTGGCTCTGCACAGCACAAAATCCCATGCACAATGTTATATCCAGCTAAGTTGCATATAATGGCAAAAGGAGAAACCCACTTTTTTGACCCCCAAGAGTCCAAGAGTGCTGCTCAATGGCTGGACCGCAGAAGACTGAACACATCATGGGATTTATTTACTAAAGCTGGAGAGTCCAAAATCAGACTCTCTTCTGCATAGAAACCAATCAGCTTCCAGGTTTCATTGCCAAAGCTTCATTGAGCAAGCTGAGGTTAGAAGCTGATTGGTTTCTATGCAGAAGGGAGTCTGATTTTTGGACTCTCCAGCTTTAGTAAATAAACCCCCATTTGTCAAGATCTCATACCCCCTCTTGAGGTTCAGCTTCTCTTAACCTACTGAAGCTACCTTGATTGGGTGTGAAGTCTATCTCAAATTCTGAATAAGGCAGAGGCAGTATCTGGATTGTTGATTGTTTTTGTCCACCTGCTTCCAGTAAACATGTAATTACAAGCACCTTCTCAACAATGGCCTTGATGCAACCCCCCCCCCCCCCCCGCCAACCTTCCCGCCCCCCGAGAGTCTTGCAGGAATAGTTTTCTGTTTTTGTCTTTTCCTTGTTTTAAAATTGTTGCATTCTTTTTTTTTTTCTTGGAGTCTTTGGAAGTCAACCTTCCTCTTTATGGTGACTGCGGTGAATCGCAGGCTCTGCTCCGGTCTGTAAGCTTTTTCTAACACTTCTCAGCTCACCAAGGCCCAGTTTGTGTCACCCTACCAATACTTACTGGAATATCCTGGACACTCTGGATTCTTATTTTTTTTTTCAACAGCAGGACTGGGGGTGTTGACCTTTTTCTGGGACTTGCTGCTTACAATTTTTTTTTTTTCTGCTTATGGCTGGAAAACGAATTGTTACTTCCTAGAATGTCCGAGGCTTAAAGGACTCTACTAAATGCAGGGCACTATTTACCACACTAGCTCATTATGGGACTCTTAATTGCTTGTCTACAAAAAACACATTTGACAGCGGATTCCACAAACCTCTTGCATACTCGAAGATATCCAACATTTGTTTCTTGCGCTGTTAGTATTCTGATCTCTTCTAAGGTTAATTTTTCCTGTCAAAATCTAATATTGATTTTGGAGGGAAAATATATTTTTCTGTTGTGCATGATTGACAATTTTTCCTTCTGGAGGAAATCTGGTTGGTTCCACAATTGCTGGCTGATAACCCAGGGATTCCCCTCCTGGTGGTAGGGGATTATAATGCAGTATGTAATCCTGCATGAGTAGGTACCCTCCAGGAAACCAAGCCTCCTCTCCATTCTTGAGATAGATCTTTGAAATAAGCCTTAGAGATGCTGCGTAATCCTTCCTCCACCCAATATTGTTGCTCTAGCTCTTATTAATCTTTATCCAGGATAGGTATAGTGTTGAGTACTAATTCCATTATACCTTGTATTGCAGAGGTTTCCTATAAAGCCAGAGGTCTATCAGACCATTCTCCATTAGTCATAAGTATTCTAACCTCTCTATCTGGAGAGTTAATCCCTTTTGGTTGAAGATACTCTGAGGGTGAGACCATCCAGGGTTACCTTAAGGAATTTTTCAATGTTAGCTAATGTTTCTAAGCATTTGTATCTGAATATTGGTCAACACAGATGATACTTTGCTATATGGTTTTGATTTGTGTATTGTTGTGTAATTTTTTTAATTTTACAATTTAGGTTCCCAGTGTTACACCTACACTACGAAGAAGCTCAAGGGTATGTTTTTTTTCTGTTCTATAATTATCCCAGGAATGCAGCTCTGTGCTTACATGCATTTTCAAAAGTAGTTGAGAAGTCAAAGCCTCAAAAATTTTCCCCTGACTGGTGTACATTTTGCATGCATATTAAAAAAAAAAATCCAGCTGAATACTTTTATGAAGTAACTCAGCCATATTAGGTTCAGTGCCATTCAGTAGCTATTGCTCATTTCAAGTCAAAGCTCAGCCAATGTTGTTATAACGTGTTTCTAAACATCTTTTTGTATTATACCTCTTTCTTCAGATTTCACCAAAATCAGAAAAAGAAAACACAGTACTCGATAAGTCTCATGATGTGCGTAATGGAGCTAAAGATCAATTGGATGTTTCTAAAATAGATGTCCTGTCTCCAATCCCCTTGAATGTTCCTCAGTCACCTTCCTATGATGACAGAGCGAAGGTGATGTCTCAGAAAGTGCGACGTTCCTACAGTCGCTTGGAAATGTCACTGAATGGTGGCTCATTTCTTTACAGTCCCACCAGAGAGACTGACTCAGATACTTCCACTCCAAACCCAGCCCCGAAAGCAGGGCGTAAGTCACTTTTTGGGTTTGATAAACTTCTTAGTTCTGAGAGCCCAGAGGAAGAAGCAGAGAAAAAAAAAGGAGAGGAAAGTAAACAGACAAATGAAAGTGCAAGTGGAACATCAATGAAACTCCCTGCAGAAGAACCAGACCTCAATATTCCTGGAATAGCATTAGCTAAGCGGAAGAGGAGGAAACGGAAGGTTCCACAAATTGAGGTAAGAACTCTCAGTATTATCAGCCATGCAGAACGCTACTCGTGATTTCTAGAGGATATCCATTAGTTGTCTTTCACCAGTCATCTTCCTAAACAAAACATATGAGAGGCTCCTTCCACCTAAGTAAAGAAGACGGAAGGCTCACAGATTTAAGCATACACCCAGAGGTTTGCCTTCATTCTTCTGTTTCCTCTAGCAACAGTGACATTGTTAATCTTAGGATGTCAATTTTCAGCCTTGTCTCAGTTGCAGGTACCCCGACAGGAGGGATTACAAACTAGGGACAATCACTTGAGGCCAGTTACCCAACACCCTCCATACCTGCCACTTGGTTGCTTCCTCTCATTGTGGAATAGGAGGGGAGCAGTGAGGGATCTAGAGCTGCTCCATCCCTTCCCTGCTTGTTGTCTAGTTTCCACTGTCCTGGATCAGATTTTGTTTTTTTTTTTCATTTTCAGGGCTGCCAGCACAGAGTGTGTACCTCCTGAATGTTTCTTTTACAAATATTGTACTCTGCCTTCTCTATACAGAATTGCTATAGCAGTAACATAGTTAGGATAGTTTCTCAGGAATTGTGTAAACTTTCTAAACCACTCTGAGTGTGGACAATGCAACCTGAGTGTCTAAAGCTCTGCTAAAAGTGGATAAGCAGTGAGGCACCCACATGGGGACTAGAACTGCACAGCAGGGATCAAAGGGGAGTGAGCTGGCTATCTGACACTGTGTGCAGACATGATGTCAACAGGAGAATAAGGCTGGCCATACATTATTCAATTTTTTTGAGAATTTTGCTTTAGATTTACCAAAAACCATATAATATGAGGTCAAATCTAAACAACACTTTCAATTGTATCCAATTAGGCAGGCCCTTGCACTACATAGTTGAAGGTAAATCTAAAGGAAATTGGACAGAAATTGGACAGAAAATTGTATAATGTATGTCCAGTTTAACACTGACTCAAATCCCTTTTTTGAGTCTTATACATTCAATGCAGACATGTACTGTAAATTAGATGAGAATTTTAAATCAAGGATGTTGATGACATCTAATGTTTTCATCTATAGGATTCTGCCCCAATATTATTTATTCAACTCAACATTAGTTTACTCATCTTTTTGTTTTAAAATCAGAATCTCCCTGTAGTATTACCAGAGCCACAAAGAAACAAAGGGATCTGTCAAAATAGTGGATAATACTGCATTCACTAAAGACCAAAATGAACTAAATTGATGTAAAGGCTTCATCAAGCACACAGATGTTTTACATCATTATACTAGAAAGATGATGCAATACTTGTCTTGCAAAATTAAATTTGGTGCCAACTAAGTAGCCATGCACGCAAACAGGAATACTCCCTTTAGGCTTTATGATGAATATATTGCTTTGTCAGTGACAGTCAGCTGCCCTCCAGTGTCAGAATTCCTGCCGCAGTCCTGCTATAAGTTGCTGATCGCCGCCATTATTAGTATAAAAAACCAAATGCCAGTGTATATATACCACCATTTGTAGACGCTATAATGTTCAGGTAAACCAGTTAATTTACACGTATTGGATTTTTTTTTTTTTTTTAGCAAAGACATGTAGCAGAATACATTTTGGCCTAAATTTATGACTAAATTTAGATTTATTTATTTTTTTATTTTTTTCCTGGACATGTTTAATAGCAAAAAGTCAAAAATGTTTTCTCAAAATTGGTGGTCTTTTTTTTTTTTTTTTCTTTTTCTTTATAGCTCAAAAAATAAAAACCACAGAGGCAATCAAATACCTCCGAAAGAAAGCTCTATTTGTGGGAAAAAAAAAGTACATAAATTTTATTTGGGTTGCATGACCGCACAATTGTCAGTTAAAGTAACGCAGCGCAGTATCGCAAAAAAAGGCCTGGTCAGGAAGGGGGGCAAACCTCTGGAGGGCAAGTGGTTAAGACTGTGTCAAAGCATATACACAGGGCTAAGGACTCTTCCTTTCTCTTCCATCCCAGTTTGACAGTGCTCAAGCATGGTGATTGGCCACCAAAGCTACAAGAATTACATCATGTGAGGAATGGGTCATGTGTTCCATGATACCCAGAAGTACCAGATACTTCACAGTACTCTGATTTGTGGTGGGAGTATGAATAAGGCAAGTACTGTATATACAGACAAGGCAGCTATCGGTTAAAACTGTTACTTTGACCTGAATGGGCAAAGTGATAGGTGTCTGTTTTTAATAAACTCTTTAGGTAACACCAGCTTTAATGGTCAGAACCAGGCAAAACTGAGTGCATTTAAAGTGGTTCTAAAGGCTGAAGTTTTTTTTTTTACCTTCATGCATTCTATGTATGAAGGTAAAATCCTTCAGTGTGCAGCTCCCCCCTACAGAACCCCCCGCCCCAATACTTGCCTGATCGCTATCCAGTGCTGTGCAGGAGAGCAGCGGATCTCTCCCTCCTCATTGAGCAAGATATAGCAGCTGGAGCCACTGGCTCTCGCTGCTGTCAATCACAGCCAGTGAGGAGGGGGCAGGAACGAGCCGCGTTCTCTGTGTCTTTATAGACACACAATAATGGCTCTAGAGTGATCACACACGAGTGCCCCCAGAGCAATGAAGAGCACTAATAGATTTATTCTTCATCTGTTTTTAGCAATCTGTTCCTATGAAAGGACCTCCTGTATTCTCCACGGCATTCAGCCTAGAGTTTAGGTAGATTAAAAGATCATTGAGCGTCATCTTCTGATACTTTTGAGTGACATCACATCTGCCCAAATATTGTCTGGAGGTACCAAAATTGTTTCCCGATGCACACCTATTTTGGGCACTGTGCTGTCTTCTAGTTATTTTTCGTTGACTAAACTTCAAAAAAGAACATGGCTGAGTTTCAAGGGTAATTATTGGTGTGGTATAGGCAATTGTCTTTGTTGTCCCTGTTTACAGAGAAGAGGAGTTTAAATCCACAGTTACTGGAACATTTCACATGATTCATGCTTCACTAACAAGGTTCATGCTTCACGAACATCTACTATATTGTACTGGTCTTTCCATATATTTGCACACACATCCCCAGTTTAATAGGCTAATCATTCATATTTGGACAACTTTTCTGTTGTACTTAGGAAGGAGAAAAATAATCATTACCTTAATAATAACAATTTAAATAGATTTATTCAACTGAAACAATCACATTACAGCATATGGTTATTTGCTTAAACAAACATCCATGTTTAACTAATTTGGCTAAACAAAATATATATATTTTAAGAAACTTAGACTGTCAGCCCTTCCTCCTCACACTTTGTTTCACTTTCTTCTTGTGCAGATCTATTCCACTCCAAACAATCAGAAAAATATTGTTTCTATTCTATTCACTGAACTTCTTGAAACTTAGCACTGAAGGGGTTGATTCTGTATTCATAGGTTTGTAGAAGTTAGGATTAAGGTCTTTTTCTTAACTCTGTTCATATTATAACATTTTTGCTGTGAAGAAGAGGCATGTGATCTCCGCTGAGTCAAATTCAGTTTTGATAACTGCGAAAGTAAACCAAACATCTGTGATATATCTTGTAGGCAGAGAAACTGCCCAATTATCTTACAAAATCCTCTGGAAGAGCATGACATTGTGAATGGATTAATGGAATTTATTTGCCAAAAAAATTAAACATATACAGCCTTATTGTACATACAGTCATGGCCGAAATTGTTGGCACCCTTGATATTTTTCCTGAAAATCATGTATTTCTCACGAAACGTATTGCATTAACACATGTTTTGCTATACACATGTTTATTCCCTTTGTGTGTATTGGGACAAAACAAAAAAAGGGAGGAAAGAAAGCAAATTCGACATAATGTCACACAACCTCCAAAAATGGGCTGGACAAAAAGTATTGGCACCCTTTCACAACTGCGGATAAATAAGAATGTTACAAGCATGTGATGCTCCTGTAAACTCACCTGGGGCATTTAAAGGTGTGGGCAATATAAAATCACACCTGAAAGCAGATAAAAAGGAGAGACGTTCACTTAACCTTTGCATTTTTCTGTCTGTGCCACACTAAGCATGGACAACAGAAAGAGGAGACGAGAACTGTCTGAGGACCTGAGAACCAAAATTGTGGCAAAATATCAACAATCTCAAGGTTACAAGTCCATCTCCAGAGAACTAGATTTGCCTTTGTCCACAGTGCGCAACATTATCAAGAAGTTTGCAACCCATGGCACTGTAGCTAATCTCCCTGGTCGTGGACGGATGAGGAAAATTGATGAAAGATTGCAACGCAGAATAGTCCGGATGGTGGATAAGCAACCCCAAACATGTTCCAAAGACATTCAAGCTGTCCTGCAGGCTCAGGGAGCATCAGTGTCAGCGCGAACTATCCGTCGACATTTAAATGAAATGAAACGCTATGGCAGGAGACCCAGGAGGACCCCACTGCTGACACAGAGACATAAAAAAAGCAAGACTACAGTTTGCCAAAATGTACTTGAGTAAGCCAAAAGCCTTCTGGGAAAACGTCTTGTGGACAGATGAGACCAAGCATAGAGCTTTTCGGTAAAGCACATCATTCTATGTTTACCGAAAACGGAATGAGGCCTACAATAGAACAAAACACAGTACCTACGGTAAAATATGGTGGAGGTTTGATGTTTTGGGGTTTTTTTGCCTCTGGCACTGGGTGCCTTGACTGTGTGCAAGGCATCATGATCTTTTTTACCAAAGGATTTTGTCGCACTGTAGGGCCCAGTGTCAGAAAGCTTTTGCGTCCAAGATCCTGGGTCTTCCAGCAGGACAAACAGCTGACCCCAAACATACGTCAAAAAGCACTCAGAAATGGATGGCAAAGAAGCGCTGGAGAGTTCTGAAGTGGCCAGCAATGAGCCCAGATCTAAATCCATTGAACACCTGTGGAGAGATCTTAAAATTGCTGTTGGGAAAAGGTTTTTTTCCTTCCAATAAGAGAGACCTGGAGCTGTTTGCAAAGGAAGAGTGGTCCAAAATTCCGGGTGAGAGGTGTCAGAAGCTTATTGATGGTTATAGGAAGCGACTGATTTCAGTTATGTTTTCCAAAGGT